TTATTATTATTTCTGCAGTTTAGCGCCATCTGCTGTCAGAGAGTGAAAGTGCGCTTTCATCCAGAGCGTCTCTCACATGTTCCGCCATGTGCTTCTCGTCCGTGCTTATTTACGTCAGAGTGCGCACGCGTCTTTCACGCAGCATACAGCAGGTGTTGTGCATTTTGACCAGTTGATGGGAAAAGTATTCTTAAAATGCATTCAAAATTCTGAATAACTTGTAATATATAATTATTCACGGTATTTAGAAGAGCCCACGATAACAATATCGTGCATATTCATTACCGTGATACATCGCATTACCGAATACCGGCACAAGTCTAATCGCGGTATGTAAATTTCCAATATAGCATGTGCATGATGTACTCAATATCCGTCATGTGGAGCCTAATAAACCTGCTGCTGCCTGTGTATTATAATGTTAATTAAACAGCAAAATAAAGGAAAAAAATCATTCACTGCTCTTGACTGAATAACTTTTGTGTCGATCCCTAATAAGATTTTATTTAGATTTAAATAATACAGTGAAAACTATGCAGTTTTATTTACATTGAATTATTCCATTTCTGTGGCATGTCTTACTAGATGTTAAATAAACCAATTGTACCTGAAAAACTTATTTCATTTTAAAACTTTAAACTTTACATTTATTTAATTTGTATCTTTGTTCTATTTAATTTGTCCTATTGTTTTTAATTAGCATATTTGAACAGAAACAATAAAATAAATATATATGACTATATGCTATGTTTTTTATGTATATTTATTTGTATCTTAAAAAAAAAACTAAAATTTATCAAGGAAAAAAAGCTGTTCGCACATCAACAAAGATCAGAATCAGAATCAGAATTAGCAAACACACAAGGAATTTGTTTTGGTTTTTTAGGAGCTCTTGGTACATACATACACATATATATGACATGAGAACAGAAAGGACAATTAAATAAGACTAAAGAAAAAAAATCTGGAACAGAAGATTTATGAACAGATTTGTGCATTAATTACTGTACAGTTGTATAAATAAAAATATGCATATATATTTACATAATACTTGAAAGCAATTGCTGGAAATGGAGAAATGAATTACCGAAAACAGGTAATCATTTCTGTGTTAGCTGTTTAAGATGGACACAGCAAATTACTGAGTAATAAAAACCTAGTGTTGTGCAGCTAGTGATAAAATCTGGTGTTGATTTACAAATATTAAATGCTTTATCACTTGTTTAGTGATAATGCACAGTGTTTCCTTTGGGTGTTCACATATAATCAACATCTGCGCATGTGCAGAGCATTTTCGATCTCCCCGCCCATCCTACGCGCTCTCCTTTATGGATTTGCCTGCACAACGGTTACAAGGTATATTATCAATCTATCAACTTGTGATTTTATTTATGAATGTGTATCATCACTAAAGCAAATTGTATTTGTTTTATATTATACTGTTTGTGTGAAAAATAACTTATTATTTGCCTCATTTTACCCAAACATTGACACGGTCAAAGTAAGTTATGATTATTTCTAATTTATCACAAGATTAATACACAAAGTCAACATTGCATACTCTTCTTTAATTAAGTAATAAAATAAGTATTAAATTATCATAATATCGATAATCAGTAACGTATATGGTTGACTTAACTCTGTCAGCATTTTTTACCTCAGTTTAATTTCACGCGCTTTTGATCCGCCGTTCAGTCTTGAGTTTACCATTTCACGGGAAACGTTAAACTAAGATGTAAAAAATCGTAGGTCCATATTAAAGGATGTTTTAACGTTTAGTAAATGACAAGACTGACACGCTAATTTTATTCCACCACCCCCCACCCCGTAGGACAGCACCATGTCTGAAAGTGAAGTGGTGAGAAGTTACTAAATTTGTTAATGGAGGACGATGGAGACAGACGTAAGTTCATTACCATTGTGCTCATTTTAATTGTTGTGTTAAATAATGTAGCAGTTTAAGCATTTTCTGTGTTATACCAACATTAGAGATTAGATAGTTAAACTTAGTTTATTTGTCATTTGGCGAAAGTATCTTTTATAGGGTTCCCAACATTTATAAGTCCGTTTATATCTTTCATTCCGTAACTACGGGTTTAATTCTGGTGTTTTGAAATGTCATGCAAACCAGAAAGCAGACGTTAATCGAATGAATTGCTCTTGAAATAATATTTTCTTGTGTGGCGCCCCCGCTAACGGATTTAGCCGAGCACCCACAGAAACGCACGAGATACGTCATTGGCGGCCTACTGATCGGCCTTTGACATCTCGAGATAGACATATAGCATCGTTCTCGTGGTACTTTGATAACATTTGCCGATCAGTCTGTATAGCGCTCCAAAAAGTCGAAAAACATTTCTTCTTGAGAAACTCAAAAACGTGCTCGAGCACTAAGTACGGGAGGGAAGCGCTGCATCAGCCGACAGATAGCAACTCAAGACCGGGTAAACCGGTTTGTTTCTCCCGCTGAGGCATTTTTTGTCTTGTTTTGTATTAGTATTAGTTAAGCAGACGTGCATTAGTTGGCTTGACGTGAGGGATTTTTTCTGTACTTAGTTCTAGCTTTATATGTGTGGTATTGTAAATCTGTAACAGTATTTAGTGCTTATGTGTGAATATAAAGTTTGAGTTGTTTTGACAATTGACATAGGCATGTGGTAGTTCTTACTGTAATATGTGTGTTGGTATTAAACAGAATCTATAGTAAAACACAAAGTGACCTTATTATATTGAGTCTGTTAGTTTGCTTTTTTCTATGGAGGATAAGCACATAACTTATCCTCACTGGCAAAAACATAAACCGACGCCTGTGCCCACACTGGAATGTTGTCAAGCATTTTGTGACAAATTAAAATCTTATTAGTTTTCTTTTTGAATTTGTATCTTATGTATTTGTATTTTTATGTGTCATTTTTGTTTGTATAAAATGTCATTCAAGTTTGCTTACCTGTTACAGGTTGGACAGTAAAGGCAAGAACACAATATAGGGACACTAGAAAATATGTAAAACTCGAAGAGCCGTGCTTTTTGGAGTTTGTCACTGAAGGCAAGGCTCTAAATTAAGCTATACTATACAGTAAATGCACAAAGTACTTTAATGTCTTTATGATTAATAAAAAAATAATGTAGGATAGTAATGAAGTTATTGTTTTACAGCAAAAAAAGCATTTGCCATTCCAGAACAGACACCTGTTAGGGTAACGGATGACACCTCTACAGAAGTGGACGTGGATGTATTTGCTGAACTTGTTGCTGAAAGGGGCATGTGCTTTAGTTTACATACTAATGATGGTAATTATGTTTATACTTATTTGGTCTTATTTTAAAATTGTGGTGATGTTTACATTTTTGCAAGTAATATTTTTATATGCTGTATACAGATTCCACTTCTGCACATGAGTTGTCCCCTGGCCGGGCTAGAGTGAGCAAAGGCGGCGGGGTCGAGAACGGCGTGGCCGGCGGATCCGACGAAGTAGCGGCAAGCACGTGACGACCCCGGGCTTCGTCCACGGTGAAAGCCAATCCGGTGATCCACAGCACTAAGTTGATGTATTCCCTCAGGAACGATTAACGGCACTAACTGCTACCATGGTTTTTCAGCATCAACATCTGTATTAGTTTGTTTTGAGTATATATGGGCATCGGTCACGATGAATCTGTTTCCATGCAAGTATTCTCAATTTTATTAATAAAACTGTTATTAAAACTCACCAGAAGTCCCAAGTAGCGGGTGTTAAATGAAGCAGATCTTTATCATAGCCCTTGTGTTCCACCAGATACCGTGCAAAACTCTCATAGATCAGCTGCACAGAAACAGAAGAAGAAATAAATGTAAGTACTAAGTGGAGGTACAGTACAGTGACATGAAGATGTCAGGCCTAACCATAAATGAAGCTTCATCTCGAGCTAGGCTTTATCTAGCTGCCCATAAACTACACGTCAAATGAAATCAGGGCAAATAGGGTTTGCATGAACATCCTCCTGGAATGACAGATAAAGGAGACACACCTCTCGCATTCTCAATGTGTTCTCACAACAAGGCCTGCCGAATAGATCGATCTTTTAGATTAGCGCATCAACATTGTTCCGCTTCAGGTCCATTGATGTAAAGCAGACAGAACCAATCTTATATTTCTGATTTATCATTACCATTGTGTAAGTGTTCGCGCCGTGTAAGCCCTATAATAATGCGTTTGAGGTCGGTTGTGTCATGATATGCATATGATGCCAGTGCGACTCACCCTGGAGGTCTCCTTCAAATTGTATCGACAGAGCGTGTGGTCCAAATCAAAGCCAATTACATCACACTCCGACAGCGAGAAGTATTCACTCATTGTATAACCTTTGGAAGGAATGGGAGATGTGAACTGTAAAGACTACAGAATCGTAATAGCTCGCAGTGACAGCGATGACTTCAAGCTGTCGATGCAGCTCGCTCGGTGGTCGCTTCTGCAACACGTGGGGTAGCGGCGACAACAATGTCACAAAAGACTACAAGCCGCGTTTCTACGGAGACGGTTACAGCGAAAGCGCAGTCATCCACAGAACGTGTCTCGGCATTTCACGCGGAAATACTACGGTGCCGGTTATAGCACTGCATAGGAACAACACGGATCTTTGTATCATACTTGTACGAACGTAAGAATATCTGAATATCGCGCATTTCCGGGTGCTGTTACCGTAATAACGCGAAGAAAATGGACAGGGTTACTTTTAATTATTGAACATTGTCATGCCTGGGTGACGCTGCAAATCATTATTCTCACTAATAAAGTTTTCCAGTCATCGATTACAAAAACAAAGTGCGTGTAGGCTGGCTATGTGTGTGTGTGTGTGTGTGTGTGTGTGCGTGCGTTCTTTATTTGCTCTTTATAATCAAAGATTCCATTATCATGTTTTTGTCATTTTTTGAATAAACAGCTATGGGTGTTTTTACCATGTGTGTTGGTAAAAAATGGTTTGATAATTTTGGTATATTTTCACTGCTCCGTGAATTGTTTTGATTCCATTTTTAGTTGAGTACAGGTAAACCCTATAGCAGACATCATGGAGACGTCTATTTGATTTCTGCATTTACATCTGCAAGACCTATTTTTTAGAGTGCTTGCTCATCTGCAATACGTCTATAGGACGTTTCCTACCAGATGTCAAATAGACGTTTAGAAGATGTCTTTAAGATGTTTATGATTTAGAACAGGGGTGCCCAAACTCAGTCCTGGAGTATGTAAAACTGATGTCTGAAAGATGTCTGTCAGATTGTACACAACAGATGCTTTCCAGATGAAGTGATCGTTAACAGACATCTTGCAGACACGTGTGCTATCTGGAACCGTGTGGTAACTGTAGGCTATTCCCCCAGTTATTTTTACTTGTACAAAACAGCTTGTTTTGCTGCTTGATATTGCAAACTGGTGTGTCGTACCATATTATCTGAATGTATTATCTTCCCACATAGCAATTGTCATCTGGCCCAGCTCTGGGCCAAACAACCAGTTACACTCGGCCCACATGCAGCAAAGAATTACGGCCCTTGTTTGGGCCAGATCTGGACTAGAGCCATAACTGGCCCAAATCTCAGCCAAATAATAACTTATAACCAGCCCTGAACTGGGCCAGAATAAGTTTTAATAGTGCTAGCCAAACTCAGCCTTCAGTAAACCATATAGAGAACAGTCTTTAACCAGAAACCCCAAAACTGAGCCATAAAAAAGCCCAAAAAACAACGACTCAACCACGGATCCATCAGTAGGCAGTAAAACACACAGTCACACCTTTAGACAGTTAAGCATCTGTAATCACACATCTTTAAATTGTGAGTGATACTAGATCGGAAGGAAAGACTCCCTGGCTCAGCTGGGTCTCGAACCAGAGACCTTCTTGCTGTGAGGAGACAGCATTTCCCATTGAGCCACTTATGCACAGACATAAAAACAAAAAATTTCATGATTGTATATTTTTGTTATTGTAGATTTTTTTGTTCATGAAGTTCACGAGATGAATGATCAAATTAAATGATCAAATAACTGCCCACATAGCAATTTTTCTCCGGCCCAGCTCCGGCCCACACAACCAGCTTTTGCTTGGCCCACATACCGCACAATGTATTACGGCACTAGTGTGGACCAGGTCTGGATTCCAGACAAGGGCCACACATGGGCCATTACTGTCTCAGCCAAGTTAATTACCCATAACTGGCCCTGAATTGGGCCAGATCAAAATGTAACAATGGAACCAAAACACAACCTAAGTAAACCATATCAACACCAATCTTTAACCAGAAAGCCCAAAACTGAGCCACACCTGAGCCTGATCCAGGTGAACTAAACCTGGCAGCCAAAATATGGGCCATGACAGATCCATATCTCAGCCTGATCCTATACACTGGACCAGATGGGTTCCACATGTCAGCCTCAACAAAACCATAACCAAGCCACTTGATACACACCCCTCCCAGATGAATAGTCACAACAACGACAGTATTCTGAACAAATATTTAATCATGTTTAATCAGCAAACCAAGTTGAATGAATCTCACACCTAACATGCTTATTTGTTTTGCTTGGGCAGTGTTCTCACCCTGTTGAAGTATGGCAGTGTGAATTGGCTTTTAGGTGCTTTGGAAAACAAAACAAAAAGCAGTAAATATATATAAATTTTTTTATATTTACGCAATTAACACAAAATTCTTAAATAAGGTACTTTCTCTATTTTTGCAATATTCAAGTGTTCATGTCCCTGAATAATATCTGCATGCACCTAAGTCTGAAGAGTACACATAATATCTAGTAGACAGCAAGTCTGGTGTGGAGGCTGTATCTGGAACCATCTGGATCTGTCCAGGTTATCTGTCTTCACGGACTGCCCTGAAATACAATTCAAACAAACAACGTAGTGTGAGGCTCTTACATTCACAATGCTCATTTTGGCCTCAGTGGTGAAGTGTGCAGAAAATTCTGCCGGACTGAAATTTAGTCTTTGGTGAACAGTCTTCAAGAGTGCAAATAAGATTTTAAGTTTTAAATAGAAGCAGTGAAAACAGCAGAGATATGGGGCCAGTTGCATAAACTTAGCCACCATGTTAAGACTGTGTCTTATGGACTCTCGCTACTTGTCAGCTGAGTGAGTTCCATGGTAACTCCCTCTGCTCCAGTTTAAATGCGATTTGAATGCTCAATGCGCACGCCCATTAAAACACATCAAAGTTATGCATTTACATAAATAGTACATACAAGTCAAATAAAATGTCCTGAAACTTCATCATGTATTGTTTAAGTGGATAGTAGGCCTATATCAAACTGTAAATTGAATGAGAATATGAAAGCAGTGAATGCAAAACATTGTTTGAAGTCAGTTTATATACATATATAGTATACCAACAGAATATACTATTCTATAATATAAGCTATAATATCATATATCATATAATATCATATGAGGCATGAATATAATTTCACATATATGTAAACACATAATTAAACACGCAACATGAGCTTTATGTTATGCATTTTAAAAATATATTTAAAAAATATATTTCAATATATTTAACAGTGTTTCAAATATATGAGAATATATTACTTTTCTGTATGGGAAAACTTTGGGATTTTACTCAAAAATAATTGAAATGGATTTTAAATGTGGGTCAAGATCGGCCATACTTATGTGGCCCACATATCTATATTTGACATCTGGGCCAAATACTACATTTGACATCTGGCCCATGTCTTGTGTGCCGTCTTAAACCCGGTACCATCTCTGCCAAACCCGGGCCATGTTTGGCCCACATGCTGTATGCCAGTGCCGGATGAATGCCAGCTGTGCCAGATGCATGCCAAATCTAGGCCAAATTTGTTTGCTGACTGGGTGATGATTGAGCATTTGGTAAAATCAACTGCAAGTCAAACATTAAATCTCTGAAGATCTCAGCAGAGGATAATTAAACAACTCCACAAACAGCAGCACCAGCTTCACTCATTACTAACCAGGGATGCGTTTCCCAAAAGCATCGTTAGCTAACTATGGTAGTTAGTTCCATTGACATTTATTGGTAACGACGGAACTTGCGACCATAGTTGCTTTTGGGAAACGCACCCCAGACTGACTTTATTTCTGTCAGACATCTTGGGAGTTTAATGTGTCAATGGTGGGAAGATATCATAGAACATGTGACAAAACTGAGAGTGCTGCAGAGAATAAGTTCCATCAGAGGGCACTGGTGAGCCACAAATGCAGCAAACAGCTACTTATTGCAAATTTGACAGTGATCACAAGTGAAGTGTCACAAATATGGGAAAGTATGAGAACATAAAGAGTCATACATAAAGCCATCTGTGTTAACCAAGGGCAGATAAGAGAACTCGTCTGTTGCCTAACATGCCACATGTCAACTTTGTATGACCAAATTGGAACAGTAAAGTAATCTTATTACACAGAAAATCCCTCAAAAAACAGTCTAAAACTAGCTTTTACATATTTTTCAAATTACACTTTAAATGTCTGTTTGTGTGCTAAACATGCTGTTAACGTCCCCATAAAGTCTCTACATCACTGTAAATTGTTAATAAGTTAATAAAGTTTAATACAACGTTGTATAGATAACTTGTGTTTGTATAGGAAACCAGAAAATGTGAGTATTAGTATAAGTTAAAATTAGTTCAGCAATCCAGAGTCCAGAATACTGCTGTCACTAAATAAATCAAGTTAAACAGAAGTTTCAGTTACCAAAAAAAATCTTTTGAGTAGTCTTTAATCATTCTCTTTACTTACTCTCAGTCACAAGTAGACCTACCACTGACTCTCAGAGTGCATCTCAGTCTCACAGAGCTTTGTTACAGGCTTCAGGAGAGGAGCAAGCGATGATCACAGGTGAGATAATGAGCTGATAATCTTGAAAGATTTAGCTGAACAGTCACAAGGTTTCTTTGCAGGGTGAGGCTGAGACAATGTGCTGGGAGGAAGACAGAAGATGATGGCAGATGACTGGGATGGATTCGACGAACAGGTAGAACATGAAGGTAGAGCTTGAGGATCTGGTGTTGCTGGTGACTCTGTGACAGTAGCCAGATCTTTTTGTAAAAGCAGCTTATTTATATTACTTCGTATACTATTCCTTTGAGAGAACAAATAACTAATTTGTAGGCTATGGGTACTATGCTTAAAACCCTAAATAAGGTATGTCGATTTGTTTCAGTACCATTACACTGTAAAAAAAATTCCGTAAAATTTACGGTAAAAAACCGGCAGCTGTGGTTGCCGGAATTTTACCGTAAAAAAATACGGTAGCAACGTTTTAGGTTTTACGGTTTACTGAGGTGGGGCAGTCTTAATAGAATTTTCATTCATTCCACCTACTTCTGCAGTTATTGTCCTCTTTGGTTGCCTTCACTCATTTTCCAAAGTCGTGCTGTTAAATTGTCAATACAACTTTTGAGAAAACATCAACGAAGTTGCCCTTACAGAACAAAAATATATTTCCATATATTTATGATCAATATATTCCCTTATGCAAAGAAAATATATTTCCTTATATATGAATGATCAATATATTAAATGATTTATATTGAAAAATACAGAATAATATATTTTATTAATATATTACAATATATTGAATAATACATAAGGAATTGCCGCTGATCATATATTGAAAAATATGTGACAATACTTATAATGTATGTAATTTTAGTACAGTAATTCAGTAATACACGATGTGCATGTTATAAGAGATGGTAATGTGTGTATAAATA